AGGGGACAGCCGCTAGCGAGCGTGAGGATGAGCGAGAGCGACTAGAGACGAGAAAAAAAAGCGCGAGCGGGAGAGAGAGAGAGCAGAGCGATCGCATGAGAGAAAAGAGAAGCGTGACGCGTAGACGGCTCGGGAGATGAGGCGCGGGGAGATCGAGAAAATATCGCGTTGTATGCATGTGGCGGGGGAGGAATATTTTTTTACGGCCTGACGCTGGAAAGTTCCCCTGATTTTAACGAGCAGTATTCCATGAGACTGTAGCATCTCAGTTGATATGCTGCAGTTGTCAGCCGCCCATGATGCTGTCACGGCGCGGCCCGTAATAGCATTCGCCTTTAACAGTCGGTGACTCGATTAAACGACGCTACATCACGCATTACTGCGAATTACGGCTGCAGCAGGATCGAGACGTGCTGATACTAAGGAGGAAAGAGAGAGGAAGATGACGAGCGCGCGAGCAACAGAGAGGGAGTGATAGAGCGGGCTGGGAGAGGGTGGCGAGAGGTATGTCGTACTAAGTAGAGGGAGACGAGGAGAGGCGCCGACGAGCAAAGCGATAGGAGAGAGAGAGAGAGCAGGGGTAAGAGGGGGAGAGATAAGTGATACTTAAGAGGAAAGCAGAGGAATGAGATGACGGCAGCGCGTCGAGCAGACAGAGAGGGAGGTGAGGACGAGGAGGCGAGATTGTATTAGTGTATACCTAAGGAGGGAAAAGAGACGCGGGCGATGAGAGAGGAGGGAAAGGATATAGAAACGAGGAGAGACGGCAGATGAGAGAGAGAAAAGAGTGACGAGAGAGAGAATCGAGAAGTCGACGTTTGCATCGTGACGTGGTGGCATGGGGCGTGTGTACGCGCGCCTGACTCTGGACAATGGTAACTTTAACTGCCACGGAATGTTCACACAACGGCTGGGACAAGTGGCCACTTATTATACTACTTCAGCCGAGCCCTGCTGGCTGGCTATACGGTACACCAGCAAGAACAACACGTCTGCCAGTCGTTATTTCCACGAGGAATTTTCACTACGCAGCGACAAAACTGCGCGCACGCGGAGATGTACGTTCCTATAATTACGTCACGCCTGCGACTGCCGTAAGAAAACACAATTGTAAAGAATACCGCTAGGGGAAATTTTTTTCGTGACGCTAACTTTGCAACGGCGGTACCCCGGGAGGGTCGAGAGAGAGAGACGAGAGATGGAGAGAGAGGAGGACTGAGCACTGAGAGAGAGAGGAGGTGAGAGAGAAGCGGGAGTCTGCCAGAGGAAGAGACGGTGATGCAGTACATTAGAGACGTAAGAAGAGAGAGAGGAAGGGAGAGACGAGAGAGAAGACAGCGAGGGAGAACGGCTCGGCCCGGAGGTCGCAGTGTGTCATACGAGTAAGAGAAGACGAGAGTGAGAGTGCAGAATGAGAGGAGAGAGAAAGGAACGGCGATGAGAGAGAAGGCAAGAGAAGAGGATAAGAGTAGAGCCAGAGAGAGAGAAGAAGAGACGAGAGAGAGATGAGAGAGAGGAATGAGCAGAGAGAGATGAGGAGGAGAGGGAGCAGAGAGGAGGAGAGAGAGCAGAGAGAGAGATAGAGAGGCAGGAGAAGAAGAGAGACAGAGAGAGAGTAGAGAGCAGAGGCGAGCAGCGTCGTCGAGGGTACTCGAGTATAGCGCTCTTCGCACGCCCCGACCCAACGGTAGGGCTCACGAACCAGGCAGTCTGTCGAATATGACCCGGCATGTTCCCATAACACAGCATAAACCACGCTCCGGGATGTTAATTATGTTTCACTGTTACATGTTATTGCGCGTGTGTAAGCCGTATTCAGCCGTGCGATTGTCACGGTACGGCGCGCCGCGCGGCGTGTATAGTGGTGCACACGATACACGCGCGCGGGTCGGTACGTGCCCGTTGCGACGGACTGCGCCGCCGGGGGTATGTGCTGGCACGTACGCGCGGGCTCGGGCATGTATATGCGTGCAGTACACTGCGCTGCGCCGTGGGCCAGCGGGTTATGTGAGCGTGCACCGCGCGATAGCGCGCGCGGGAGTCCGTTATATAGACCTACGCCGTTTGAGCGCGCGGTGCGTGTATTGGTGTGGATATTATCATGAACGAGTTACACGCGTATGCGTATCGTTTGTGGACGTGAGCCCCAGCTATTATGTGTAATTAGGATGTGTGTACGAACACCGTGCGCCTGCGTGTGTGGCGTGCGCGTTATGTACGCATCATATGCACTAAGCTCCACGTTGCAATGTGTATCATGGCTCTCTTTGCGGCCCGCATTCAGCCTTACTGTGAACACGCGCTCCGCTCGCTCGCTGAATTCGTCAGGGCGATTTTTTCACAGCCTCTGCAGCAGTTTCCCATTATCATCGGTACATTAGGAAAGCGTGATATCTCCTTGGGCAGAGAGCCGAGAAGATCGTGAGGAGGCCGAGAGAGGAGAGAGAGATTCAACGGCCCAGTTAGCTAGCCACTCGGCAGCTAGTCAATCTTCCCTTTCCGGCATATTGATCAGGATGGTTCTGCGTGGCGTCTCGATGGTGTGTGTGTGTGTGTGGAGCCTCCCCTTCTGTTCATGCTATTACTGCCTATACCCGATCCGCGCGCTCCTAGCCTGCCTTGTCACTGCTCTCTCGCTCCCGCTCTCGCTCTCGCCGTCCGCTCCTGTTCGTTAGTTCAGCTCTCGCCCCGTGGCCTGTCGAATGCTCGCTTCTGCCTCATTGGTCGTATTTCCACCCTTGTGTGTGTGGTGATGTGCTACCTTGGCTATCATCGGTTCCCGCTTCATGTCTACTCGCGTTCCTTCAGCGTTACGCCATTCTCCTCCGGCGTCTTATGCTTATGAGCGTCGCGCTCCTCCTGGAGGCCTCGTCCCCGCTCGCTCTTCATCGTGGTCGTTCGCACCCCTTGCTCCAAGCCCCTCGATACGCGTCGCCCACGCGCTCACTCGCTATGTCGTGACCGCTGATGTGCCTCGGCGGCTCCCGTGCTTCTGCACATTGGTTCTTCTAGCGTCTCACGCTGGTGCCACGCGCCGGCTGCTCTCCACCGCGCGGTGGCTCACTCCGCGTCGAGAACACACTCGTCATACGTCTGATTAGTGCTATTCTCCGAGGTGGCCTGTCTGCGATGTAGGATACCCAGTGTCTCCCGACCGTTTTTGAGATTTACACCGGGGACTGAGTTACTTTCCCTTCGCGTCGCGCGGGGTTGCTAGTTATAATGCGTTCCCTTATCTGCCGTCTTACGTACTTCATTTCTTACACTGTGGCAATCTACACTATTATTTTCCTACTTCATGCCTCGCACCCAGACGCATCTATATACAATAAATAATCTATTATCCAATATATTATTTGTATGCATATTATCTATCCTCTTCATTCGCGCGACTGTTAGATTCATCCCCTTCCGTACCTTCCTTTCAGATTGGGCTCACGACTCCTCAATTCCCGCTTTTAACAGTGCGCTCTACAATATTCCTTAGCGCCGGCCCGGGCTTATTAGAATATAACCAACACCCTATATGTCGTAGTTCGTATGAACGATAGATGGGTTTTACAATTCTAACCATACTATATCTGTATCAGTTATGATTTATTAATATTCATATTATATTATAATTATGTATGTCCATACTAATATATATATAATTATATATGATAATTATTTCGATATATTTTTACAATAACTCATAATAAGAGGAATTAAAAGTGCCTCTCCCGAAATGATGAGACGGATCTAGGACGGAAATCTCATATTATCCAGTAAATTGCTGGCAGTTATCTATATCATGACACATCATTGCATGCACACTACTCCACTTGAGATGCTATTACCTCAGTCGCTAACATATGATTACCCTGCTTTACGCAGAAAAAAAATCCCCGAGAGGAGACGATGTGTCCGGGGAGAAAAAACACAAAGTAGTTTACGACTAGCGTAAACTATACGGCTAACCGAACACGCATATCAAGACGTGTTGCTGGTGTTATGTTACAGCCAGCGTTACCGCAATCATACATTGAGAAGTGAGAATCTTACGTTAACAGAGGTGTTGATAGTCTAGGCTACGATAATCCATCAGAGGAGCGAGAGCACGTAAACCTACATATTATATAGCCTAGTTTGTTCTCTAGATTGGATCTAAGACTAGAGATGTTTGGTACATGCGTGAAACTCACATTTTGCTATGCGTGCTACATACCACATGAGCTACACACTTACAGGTGTTGGTATGTGTAGCACTTACAGCAAAGCTATCGATGCTTTTCCATATAAGGTGTCGCTGTGTGCGCTACTGTCATATCGGTTCGTGAATATAAGCGCTGACCACAATTTATTTCGCAATGTGTGACATGTGCAAATGTGGACAGCTCTAATATCCTTGGACCGTGATAATAATATGTAGATTACAAGACATGATGAGGGGGATATGTAGCACTTACACCACGAGCTATCGATGCTTTTCCATATATAAATGTGTAGCGGTGTACTGGCTACTGTAATAACGTAGATTATAAGACGTAGTGAGAGGATGGGCTCAACGATAGACGAGCTGTCCACATTTGCACATGTCGCACACTGCGAAAATGAATTGTGGTCCGCGCTTAGTAATATCCATGAACCAGAAGATGTTTGGCACTTACCGTGGTTGGCGGTGGAAGATGATGCTATACAGACGATCACAGACAGCAACGTCCACATGTACGCCATCGCCGCAGTAGTAGCAGATCGCTTCTCTTCACTCTGCAAGCGAGCAAGACGTTGTAAAACGATGTGGTCCTCCTTCAGCCACGGACATGCATATTGCTGCACTATTCATAGGCACGCACACACACACGCGCGCGCATACACACACACGCGCGCGCACACACACACACACGTGCGCGCGCACACACGCGCGCATAGACACACACACGTACGCGCGCAGACATACGCACGCATACACACACGCACGCGCACGTCCACACGCGCGCTCGCGCGCACACACACACACACACACACACACACACACACACACACATACACAGGCGCGCGTGATCCTTAAGCTCGCGAGCCAATAACCGAAAGCGGCCGCACCGCAGAATATACAAACACTCGCGACGCTTTCAAAATTATAACCACTTCGTCGAAAATTAATGCCGACAAAAGCCCGGGCAATTTTTGCGCAGGCCAAATCTCTGTTCAGCTTTCTCTCTCTCTCTCTCTCTCTCTCTCTCTCTCTCTCTCTCTCTCTCTCTCTCTCGCTTTGTATGGGCTACGCGTCTATTTTGCCAACAACTCAGACATTCAGCGACGCACATCCATGCAGTATTAAAAGCGCATGTATATTCCGGGGCTGCGCTTAGATTTCTGATTTCCGACGGAAAACAGAAATCTACTTTCGGAAACCGCCTCGCCTAGCAGAATTACGTCGCGGTGCATGCATTGTATGCAATTATTGCAGCCAGGCAGGCAGTCATCCGCCGCCAGGGAATATTTTCCACTCGCACGACTCCACAGAACGCGGCATGGCACAGCGAAAGCCTATAATTCTAGAGCGCGGTTAGAGCTGACTTGCCGGCTGGACACACAGTCCAAGCAAGGCACCAACTCTCTACACTTCCTTATCCGTTGACTCGACAAACCTAGCAGAGAACCGGGCACGGGTTAAGTTTCCACTTTCTCAGGCTGTTCAACAATTGCGCCTGATCCGCTGAATAAAGACGGAGAACGGGAGTCGGCAAGCACACGCGGCCAGCTTAAACACAACGGCAAATATGACTCCTTAACTCTCTCGCTCGCTCACACAAACATACGTGCGCATAGCTCTAGTACTATAGCCCGCGTTCGATTAACTGCCGCAGGAATCGAACGCGGGCTATAGTACTAGAGCTAACGTGCGCACAGGAACGCATGCACAGACGCACGCACATAGCCGCATGTACGCACGCGCGCACACACACACGCGC